ATGCTATCAAATATTACTTCCTAATACTGGTTTGTCCTTGATATTAACGTTAATGTTACATGATGATAATAAATCGAGCAAATGGATAGTAGGTTTTCTAATTCTCTCTAAAGAGAGAATCTAATCGTCTAATTCTCTCTAAAGAGAGAATTAGACGGATGTTTCGAATAATGTCTTTCATCAATTGTGATTGAGATTGTGGATGCTATCTGAAACGACTGACTCCTGAAAGAATTTATCCAGTTGGTTGATTTCTTGATTAATATTTTGTAACTGTATCCAAGAATAAGCCTCAAGTTTATGTTTGCTTGAAGTTTGTCACAACTCAAAAATCGTGTTTAAGAGCAGGCCACCAGTCTGGCACTATACGGCTACTGTGTTGTGAACTTTTCACAAATATTTAGATATCTCACAATTGTTGCTTCCTAAGATTTATGAAGTGCGTCCCAAGAGATCTCGAAGGAGCTAACTTTAGTGCCAACAATAGACCCCAGGTGGCGGCTTTAGAACAGCTAAGTAAACACTGCCTTTGGCCGAGTTCCCGAGCTAATACGTACGCACAGGGGACGATCGGAGACATAAAACACGAGTTTTCACACTTTCCACACATCTGTACAGTGTTGTTCACAGGTTCAGGTGTGGACGGTAACGTTGTGGTGGGTGAGACGCGGGTGGGGGTGTCCTGATCAACACTGGCAACAAGTTTACGGTGCTAACTTGTGCAAACATCTCAACATACCGCCCGGCAGATAATTTTCGTGCAAAGATCTGCACGCCAGAAGCATATCTCATTTTTTCTTTACTCAAATAAAACGACAGAACAGACTTAACGTTACCTGGAGAAGAAATGGGAGGTGGTCACAGACGGTGAACCTGTCGTCTGACTTCCGAGTTCCTCAGAGCCGAGGTGTCCCGAGTTCCTCAGAGCCGAACCGCCGTGTCAAACTCCATGGCGACCCTTCAAGCCAACCCAACCAAAACTTTCCCAACAAAATCTCTGAGCATCAGCAATTCTTCAAACGTGAGAGAGTAGACGTAACAACCCGCTCAGCAGTTCCTAAGTTTTAGCAGGGGCGGGGAGTTAAGTTGTGGCTGTTGCTGCAGTGAATGGTTTTCATGCTCGGCGCCACAGCAACGGGCCAAGTTACGGCAATTACCACGACCCCATACACTGTGCTAATTATTAGATGATGAGAATAAAATTTACTCCATAACATGTCAATGATGCCTACTGAGCCATTTAGACTGATCATCACTTGCATCTTCGATTTTATGACAATGTTGCCTGAAATGCCTACGAATGTTCTCAACATCTTGACAGAAATTGACTCTGTGGCTCACCAGGCATATTTTTGTACGGGTGTGTGGTGTTGTCATCATGGCGGCGAGCATTTCAGATGGTAAGTATTTCTCACCAGTACTTTCGGCATCTTTCCGTCAGAATTCGTCACAAGATGTGACGGGCTCTTTGTTGATATCGTATGAAGAGCCCAGAACTTTTCTTTGGTGCCAACTGTTCGTGTTTTTGTGCATTTGTGTGTCCATGATTGATGTGGCACTTCCAGGGGTGGGGAGGGGGGCGCCTGGGTTTTGTAAAATTTATCGACAGTAAGAGTTTCTTTTTCAAAATTCTTTCCTTACTTGAATACAGCAAGGGGGTGAGCATTACACACCATACAACAGAAGATATGTGGGCAGAAGAATCAAACTCCTTCACCAACGCTTCCATTTTATCATCATTATTTTATTCAGCTTTCAGTTCAATTTGTTGGCATGCAGCATCACAACATGATATCACATTCACATATGATTCATATGATGAAATTATTTATGGATATATGGTGGTACGTACACTCAGACTGACGCTTGTGTTGCCGCTAATGCTAGACATCAATATCAAATACACCAATTGTGTAACTGTAGAGGACCTGTATCATTGTTTGCATATTTCTGCTGTTGTTAATCTTCCTACCTGGCCAAAGAGATATACTCTAACATTGCTCTTTTTTCTGAAGAAAACAAACTGCTTTGCTTCCCTAAGCATTTAGTTTTTGTTATGACTGATTTGGAAGTTGTTTGGTCTGACTTTCATGGATGCCAGCTTGAGTGAGTAGTGGAAGTTTTTCCACTCGCTCCAGACTACCCCCTGTGCATACGGACATGCGTCTCCACATGCCCGCAGGTAGCGCCCATTCAGGTACGACTGCCCGCAGTTGTGGAACCACCAGCCACCCTGGCCACCATACCGCTGGGCACAGGATGTCCTGTCGTGTCCGTCGTTGTCGCGGTCGAGTGTCGAGAACGGTGCCCCGTTGTTGGGGTCGCTCCCAGTCATGGCATCCCCTGCAGTGCCAGAGTAGCCATAGATCTGCAGCCTGTACTTGTTCCTTTCGTTAGACAGCCTAGAATGTTCAAACGTTCATAATGTAGTATGCCATTTACTACTGAAGTCCCAGCTCTATTCTATACTCTCAATGGAAGAGTGGTGGGGGAAGGGAAGAGTTGAGGAAGGGGGTTCAGGAAGAGTGACCTAACGTTGTTATACTCAGTTCTCACCTGAAGGTGTTATATTCGGCATATGCGGTGTTCCCCTCCCAGTCCTGCAGATCGACTCGTAGCCTGAGGTCTCCCCTGTCCGTCAGCTGGTGGATTTTGTCGTTGCCCAACCAGAACTCCCCCTCCACCGAACCAAACCCCCACTTGTACTGATCCCACGTCCGGTTAAACCAGACTGAACCATCCACTCGCCTCTGGATAACCGACCAGCCACCACCTATTCCAGATAGAATCATCACATCATTCTTATGTCTGTAATGTTTGGTGTTGGAAAGAGTGAGCCTTCAACAAATCTTGTATATCATAATTCTCTGAATTGAAATACAAGCCCTTGCAGTTCAGTATATATAGTTTTAGCTGTAAATTATTCAGGTTGGTTCAACCAAGCAGAGTGTCCTGGGAATGGGTTCACTCCCACTCTGGAGAACTCACTTTTACAAATGTATCAGTATCAAGAGTAAAACTTCTTTGTGATGTGACAGAAAGGTTTTTATCATCTTCTGGTGGGTAATACATGCCCAATATTATACAGGTGACGATGCCATATTACTATAATGAGTATGGTAACTTACCTGCTGTCTCCATGTCGCACCAGATGCGAAACTGTGTGTCTTTTTGAGGGCTGATGGTGAACACACCACTGGTGTGGTAACCACGGCGATACAGCTGGGAACAGTCTTCTGCAGGAGCTTCTGTTACAGTTAAATAATTCATAGTGAGAAGCTTTTATTGTCACAACAAAAAGTACAAACTATAAAGCGTAGTACAGTGACTTTCAACTATGAGCTGCAGTGGCTGTAGAACTAGTACTATGATATGAATGTATGATAGTGAGGAGGGGAGACTTTAGTCTGGGACTGCCCTACCTGGTGGCTTGTCCCTGCGGGGAGTGATGGGAAGACTTGTGGGCGTGTCTTTCACACCTGGAGCCTCCTCCGTCTGGTCCTGATCCTGTCCTGTGGAGGTTAGCTGGGTCTGCAGGGTGAGGAGGAGCTAGGACAACAGTGTCAATCATGAATTTTGTTTCAGTCTAATCCCTAATCAATGACACCAAAGCTATGATACTACATGTAGTTATAGTTGTCAAAGCATCCATATTAGTAATACATTGTACATGTATATGTACAATGAATAAGATATGTGCTGATGATGCCGGGGAGAGGTGTGCCACATAGTGGGGAGATGCTGGGACAACATAGAGAAAAGTGCAGAAACCTGTTCTAGCCTGTGGAGAGAGGCCTGCATGCCCTCCAGCTGCAGGTTGGTTGTCTCTGACAGTTTTGTCACTTCTGCCATCAGACTGTCGTGTTGCTGCCTGGTCTGCTGCAGACTTGCCTCACATGGGCACTGACTGGGCTGGAAATGAAATACAATGTGCAATAGAGGTTTGAACTTGACTAATAACTCATCATAAGGGCCCCACCCATTCTAGTGGCAATCTTGCTAGCCCTCTGTAAGGCTTGTAGGTGAAACGAGGACAGACTACAGATACAGACCTGAGGACTGTCAGGGTGATTAGGAGTACCAGGGACAGCTGGCTCCAGAGGCTGACCTGCTGTGAGCGCCAACTGTGCTGCACATAGGACAGTAGTGACAGCAAGAACCTGCTGCATCAGGGCTGAACCCATCTTTAAACTGGCGATGGGAAGTGAAAATATCAGAACAGAGCGCATGTACAGTTCAGTCTCTCCGTGTGTGCCAGATAAATGCAGTCATGGCTGGATGCCAACAGCTCACTGTTTACAGAATGGGTTACAGTATCTTCTGTTTTATGTCAAAACTGTTTACTAGGCAGAGTGTGGGGCATAGGATTGTAGAAAAATGTTTAATCTGGAGAGCAACACATGTGAGAGGAAGCAAGTCAAAGGCTGGGACAGGAGTGCAGGTTTAGGAATTGCTGTGGTTGATGGTGCTGTGGTCACCAGTAATGGACAGTGTTTTAATTTAGATTTCTGTCCATCAAGTGGCATGGCAGAGATTTGTCTGTCCCGAGCATCTGAGGGATAGATGGTGAAACAAGCCCTATGCTCATCCCACTAACCCACATGTTTCATGTTTGTTTCAGTACTACACATGTATAAATAATCACCATCAGAGATGACAGTGTTTTCTCATGTAACTGACGTGATATGTTTGCAATGCAGATGACATAATTCGCAAGCGGCTGCTGATTGATGGGGATGGCATCGGGGATGACAAACGCATCAGCACGCTGATGAAAACCTTCATGAAGTGGTGCAACACTCCGGGGTCAGAGGAGGAGAGGTAACCTTAATGCCTGACCCTTCAAGTTCACCTTAACTCCTGACTTCAGTCAAAATGGATCATAACACTAACAGTGCAATCTAAGAATACAATGTATTGAACATTTGCAACTGCATGCATGACTCCCCTCCACAGCAGTGCCACCTACCAGTGCATGCTGGCATAGCAGTACTTCCAAATTATGTGCAATAATAACCTTTCCCTTCCTTTGCAGCAATGCCACCTACCAGCGCATGCTGGCCCAGCTGGCCCAGTGTGAACATGCCATGGAGAAAACTCAGCTCATCCACAACATGAACATCCATGAGATCAACAACTACGAACAACTCTACACAGACATAGGTAGTTAACTTTACAGTCCAACATCTAAAACCTTTCCTTTACAATGTTGAGTTTATAACAGTTAAATTGTACCACAGCAACTAATAGCAGAGGTTTTTTTTTATTAATGGGTTGTTTTCCATGCTCCATGTATGCAATGGTTGTTTTTGTATCTGTTTTAGAACAGAGTATAGAAGATGCCCACACGAAGATTGGTGACTGCAAGCAGGAACTTCAGCATGCCAAGAGAGTCCGCAAGAACAGACAAGGTAACTCTCCTCACTCCCTGGAAACTTACAGACAGCCAGAGAACTATTCTTTTATTTAAAGCAGAAGATTTAAAGCAGAAGGTAAATGTCAAATTGAATTCAATGAATTTTATTTTTTTATTGTTCCTGTAGAGTATGATGCCCTTGCCAAGGTCATCCAGCAGCATCCAGATAGACAGCAGACCATGAGGTACATTCTGTTTTTACTTTCACTGTTCACACCTTAACAGTAACCACTTTCACCTTAAACTCTCAGCTAACTACTTTCACTTTACACTCCATAGGTCCCACTGTTACCCAGGCCATGAGGTACAATATGTCTCTAGTCCTCCAAGGAGTTTGGAAGAGCTTCATAGACATCCTTTGATCACCTTTTGTAGTTCTACTGTGATTTTTTTTTCTGTGATGTGATACAACCTATTGGGCACTGCACTATAATTTGGACGTAGATTTTAGTCTTGATGCTTGTCAAAACCACAGTACAAAGGAAATCGTCTTTGTCTTTATTAGAAGAAATGTTTTCTATCTCCAGGAGACTTGAGGAGCTCCAGAAAGAACTGAAGACACTGAAGGACTCCAGAGAGGGTCTGGAGGCCAAGGTAAGGAACCTTAAGCCCCTGTCACACATAAGCCTTAACAGCTCAGACAGGGGGAGCAGGTGTGGAGCCAGCAGGTCTTGTTTTAATGGTGTTGTGGTAAAGATACTTGTTAAGCTCTTTTTCTCTTTTGGGGAGTAGGCAACAACTCTCAGTTGGGGTCATGTGTAATTTGGTTTTATTCTCAACAGTCATGCTTTAATTGCAAATGGCCATACCAATTTTGTTATGTGGTTTTCAGATTTAAAAAAAAACACAGCCCTCAGTTTTCATCTCATTGTGTTGCTAAATTTTATGTAGAAAAGCTAACTTTTTATGTGGAAAAGCCCTGGACCCAAGGAAATATATTGGTATGGCCCCACAGATACATAAGTCTTGAGTGTATGAAGAGAGCTTGTGTTAAGTTGACTGTGTGCCCCTGTTTAGATGGAGATGCGACAGAAGCAGTTCCATGTGTTGGTAACTTCCATCCATGAACTACAGGCCATGCTAGAGGGTAAGTCAAGTCTTCTCATTCTTCACACATGATTCCTGTTGTTGCCGTAGTAAATTAGTCAACAGAAGCAGGACAAACTTTGTTGCCAATGTGAAAAGAAATCCAAATTACTAGGGTTAAACCCTGGTTTTGTGGTAATGGTAACATGTTGCTGCTGTTTTTGTTTGCCTTTTGGTCCCTGTTGCTCCTAAAGGAACATGTTTCTTCTTTTTTTTCCTGACAGAAGATGAGAAGGATGAGGATGAAGAGGAACAAATGGATACAGGCTCTAGCACATAACGCTAGGTGTAGGATCCAGCACATGGTACTAGATAATGGGCAAGATACATTGTACACCACTGACTGTCTGTGCTAGATGCACAGGGAACAGGCTAGTCACACATACCATAAAGGTCCAGACCAAAATTAGTATACAGTTTACTTATTTAACTTCATGTTATCCAATCATTGGTTGAAGAAATTCTAGAAAACCACATTCTGACCCTCCCATCTGTATTAATGATGAACCAAGGCATTTCTCTGAATTTAGATGCCTCATAAGTGCAGCTCTCTTGTGAATATGTAGATTGAGTAACATTTGGAGACATTAATTTTCATCTAATACTGAAGAATTTTTGGTTTGTGGTCAACATGTGAGAAAATGTTGTGGTTCTTGGCAGTTCCTACAAGCATCAAGCCTGTGACGTGTCAGGCTGATGGACCCGTAGACTTTTTCATGTATAATCCATCATGTAAAAACCGGCCATGTTCAGTTCCAAATACATGTATGTTTTGACACATTAAAACATGTGGAGTTGTTCAAAGGGTAGCCAATGCTGTATACATACATGATGTTCTTCCAACATCTTCAATGATGGCCTAGACCTCTTAGGAAAGGTGATAAGCCACTGGCCAAAGGTGTATGTGTTATGTAAACATTTTAAAGGTCTTCTTTGGTTGAAACTATTCTGTTATCCGCTGACCTTATGCTGAAAGGTTTGATCTTTCAAAGATTAATAGATGGACGCTCAGTGTCGGTAGGGGGGTCCAGATATGTAGGCCACTGCTGGCAACATGTGCTGGTCTCACCTTGTGTACTATGTCATAACTGATCCCTTTAATACTACACGTGTGTTCATGTAATCTTCAGGATGTTAAGTTAATCTTCCATGCCACACATTTGTGGACTCATAGTGAACTTTTGAAGGCAGCAACATATAACATTCCTACCCAGACACTGCTGACTACCAGCAGTGTCCAGTTGTGCACACCAGTTCAGTAAACCCACATTATGCAAAGGCACATTCAAGTGACGTGCGTTTATGTAATCTTGCTGAAATTGTTCACCCACAGTGGTAACTTTTCCTTTAGTCACTGACTTCATATTAAAAGGTTTGAACTTTTGGAGATTACTTCACTCGTACGTGCGTGGCATTTGGTAGGTCCAGCTATTTCAGGACACTTTGACGTCATAAGGGTACAACACACGCGCACAAACAACTGGATTTCCTGCCCTCCTCCGTCACACCAAGGATGTTTTATCTTGATTAAAAAAAACACAAGCATGCACACACACATACACATACACACACACATACACGTACACAGTGCTGACTTTCCTGCCCGTATCCATTCGTCTTGCAGGCAGCTAGGTAATTGTTACCTGTTGAAATGTATCACCGCGTTCAGATTGATAATAAAGAGTAGTATCTCCAGTTTCTTTTGATCACACGGGGGGCAGAAAATTAAAACGGAAGGAAAGACTGTGAAATTAAAGTTGTCATGCTCACAAGAACTAGGCGGATCTCTCAATGGTCGCCCGGGGAGTGCTCAAAGATCTCTCCGTGATCTTTCAAGGGTCACCATGGTCCTTAATTTTGTGCCGATATGAAAAAATAGCACCCTTTCCCAGGGACAACTTTGACGAGCGATCTGACAAATTTCTGCCCGCTTAGCCGTCGATCAACGGTCTCCGTTCTGTGGTTTTGAGAGGAAGCAATTGTACCCTGGGTACCAGATTACCGCGGGGCGGCGAAAACTCCCTAGATTGTGCGGGGGGCTAGTTGATTGGCAGAGCCGACTAGAATCGGCCAGGCCCCGCGGTAATCTGGCACCCAGGGTAAAGCTACTTTCAGCGAAACCTGTGGGTCAGTTCCGTACAGGGCGGTCGTTACTTCGTCAAGGGCACATTTTCCGGCCGTCCGACGGTTCAGTGATAAATCGCCCCTCTGTGGTTGTTAAAGGCTGGTTCAATACCGGCCGAGATTAAGTTAAACCTCAATCAATCCCAGCACAATACCTGGCACGGCCGGTCATGGCGACATCCGTCAGTGTCCGAGCCTTTGTTACAAAGTTAGAGTGGACCTGAACTTGCACTGAAGGAAAGGGATCGACTTTCCCGTCGGGTCTCCTGATGACTGGCCGGCTTGGGTCTGTTGCTGGAAAGGAATTGTAGTCGAAGGAAAAGCTAGGGAAATCGTTAGTATATTCTTCGTCCTAAGAATGGACAGGGAATCTACTTTGGCAAGATGAAGATCAAAATTCTACTTACACGTAAATTTATCCTGTAGCGTAGTCAAGCCTCCACTAATTCACGCGTCATCAGGACACCCCCAGCAGATCCCTGTATCTTTATGCAGACTCCCTACATCTCTAACACAGCCCCCTCTGCATCTCCACTTAAGCCCCCCCCCCCCATGACGAGTTTAACTGTTTCTACGTACTGAACTCTCGTCTAAACCAAAACTGAGAGCTTACGTGTTGATCAAAGACGCATTCTCTCCAGAAAATATATTACTTTACCCCTTACTAGATCCCAGAGATCTCTATGTGCCCAGGTTTGGTCTGGAATATTACCTTAGTTTGTATATTGAAACAGGTAGATACTGTGCCATTCCTGAAGAAGACGGAATCTGCTTGCTAATGCTTTGCAACTTAGATGAGAGTGAAAATAAAATTAAGGCGCACGTCATATTCTACTGCCCGTTTTACGATAACCTACGCCAAACACTTTTTGATAAGACGTACTAAGAGGCGACCTGATATTATATGGGAAAGAGACGAAACAAAATTTATTGGTTGTTTACGGTAGGAGTGTTTGTAATTGCACAATACGTATAGCAGGCTTGGAAAAAATTAAGTACCATATACATTTATAAGAAGAGAAAGTAGAAAATCTGTCAGTTTGATTTTAGTTCATATAAGTTTTCATTTGGTTCTTTTATTTATCGCCTCATTTACCCGTTTGCTTTTCTACTGAGTTAATTCTGTGTATGCACCAATTAGTCTACCCACCACCTTTGTTAAAATATACTTTCAAGGTTGTTACCATTAATGTAGTGCCAACGCAGGTTGGAACTTAGTGTTATTCATTGCTTATGTTTTATTTTAATTGAATGTCTGTACCGTGCGCATATATCTACCTCCTATGTTACCTTTTGATTTGATTTGACTGGAATCTGTACCGTTTTGTATTATGATGTTAACATTTTTTTTTTCTTTTGTTGGTGTCTTATAAGCCCATTTGGGCTGGGCGGCGTGTAGTCGCGACGCACAATAATAAACTTTCATTCATTCATTCATTTATCCAATAACACCAGGCGTGACCTTCCACGGTCATTTCACGGTGCAAACGAATGAAAATCGAAGACAGATTTTGATTGTTTTCTAACGTCACAACTTTAATTCCCATCACGGTACGAGGGGAAACGCGCAGGTCCAATTACCGGTGGCTGGGCCCCGCGAGGCGCGTGACGTGGAGCCGCAGGCACTAATGGCCTAATAGGGTCTCCGCTCTTCCGCGCGCCACTTTTACTTCAGGACACCGTAACGCCCAAGTACAGGTGGCAGAGAACTGGCACTATCTGCTAGCTGTGAGGCTGTGCACAGACGACACGCTACTCGCCGTTGGAAGAAAACTCGCTACGGTTCGAGCCCAGTGAAGATCTAATAGAGCCAAGAGACTCGCCTGGGAACGGCTAACAGTAACAGGTGAGTGATCACTGGACGGTATTCCGACATTTCTGTGTTAGTACGTTAGGGCCTGGTCACCTTCGCCGTACAATGACGGACTAAGGGCATTGTTGGATAGTCGTGCATGTGTGAAAGTGAGTGAATGATGTACAAAATACTTCTGTCTTGTTACCGATAAGTCTGTCCTATCATTGACGGCGGTTGCCGTTGGTTCGGTCACTTCTTGCGCGAAGGTCCTATGACATTGGACTGTGCGACGATTTACGCCTCGTATGAGAGCGCGGAAGGCGTTTTATACTAGTAACACTTGTGTGGCGCTAAAGAATAGTGGTGGGCGTCACTCGAAACGTTTGAAAATAAATTATCTATGAGTTATAACACTTGATGATTGTGTGGGTGTTTGGATGGCATTAATGACAGCGGTGATGCCTGTGAAGGGTGAAGAAAACCAAAGAAACACCGATTATCAACGCCAGGAAAACACATTTCATATTTATCTTCAATGTCCATCTGGACATCTACACTGTACCACTGATGTACTATTAGCAGTAGATTGCTTTCAGACCCCACGAAATAAAGTTACGCCCATGACGCATGCATCAAAGTTATACCTTTATAGAAACCGTTTCCAGCGAAATATGGGTGAATAATCTGCCATGATTGTGCTTCTGATGCGTCCTGATGTCCGCAGAGTAATCAGGTGTCCAGCCTGGATATTCATTCATGTCACAGATAATCACCAGGCACACTGACCTGTCACGAACTGAAGCAGGGCCAGCGGCTATTGCAGTGACAGTCGTGATGTCAGCATCTGTAGCCCACATCAACAGCCTGGTCACTTCAAACTTACAACATCCCGGTCATCACAAACAGTAAACAGTTGTTCGTTCCATTTTTCCACCAACTTTTTTTAAAATCATTATTACTGGTAGAATTTTTATTTCTGCTGATTGCTTCCGTTGCGACTGAACGGAATATACTAGTATACAGCTTTAGTTGTGGACGAGCGGATTCCCCTTGGTTAACATTATGTTGCATTACCTATGACTGAAGATGACACTACAGCTAACAATGACACTAACCATGGCATTAACGATGACACTAACGATGACACATGTTAGATCACCCGAATGACGACATGCCTACTTTGTCTTCACTGATCTAATAACGCCACGGGTGGACCGAATTACCGACTGTGGTTGAACACCGGGTCACTTGGTACAAGTAGAAATCGTAGAATGAATGAGTCCCCAGCGACTGTTCCGCGCTTATTACTCGCAGATTCGGAATAATCAGAAAGCAGTGATTCCTGTGTAGAGTTCAGAACTAATTGTAATGTTTCTTTGTACTGAATAGTTTCATCATGTCGGTAGGACATATGAAAAGGCACCGTCCTCATAGCTTGGTTAGTTTACCAAACCTATTATAGCTGCCGAGTCCTACATGTAGGCAGCTGCCGCCGCGCCGCGTGCCTGCGAAGCCGGTGTGTTACGCCGAAGGGCGGTCACACCGGCTATACAGATAGAGATACAGATGCAGTCAAACGGTCCACGCCCAGCCCACTTCAGTGTCCAACAGCTTACTGATGTATGACGTCACAGACCAACAGCTTGCGTTTGTAAAACGTCAGATTCCAAAGCCTCTTGACTATCTGAGGCGTTGGGACGTCAGGAACGTGGGCAGAACAACATGGATTAGGAGCACCAAGTGTCTTTGTATAACCGAAAGTTTCAGTCTGGATTTCCGGCTCTTCCCGCAAGCATGAAAAACAAGTCTTTGAAAGCGCCATTTTTTATAAGGTTACTAAGAAGTACTTTTCTTTTTCCCGCAAATCTCCCTCGTGACACAAGTACGCGACTTGCCCTTTACAGAAATGCATCTGTAAACTGAAACTGCTCCAGTGCAGTCTCCTATGTTGATCTTTGATATACCGTACTTCTGCCACAAGTAGTATTTTGTCAGAACAGTGTTTAGCAGGGCATTTCAGAGCTGCCAGTGGGATATCATAACAGCGTTCTCGTGTCAATCACAGTCCAACAGGAGGTTACTCAGTAGTCCCCACCAGACTGGCATGAGGGTGACATGGGTTAGCAGGATGCAGAATGATACTCCTGGATGATACGACCAGCGGGGTGTTCGGCTCAGACCAAGAGGTCCCGGGTTCTAATCCTGCCCGATGCCACCGATCTTGGGGAAGGCACTTTACACGGCTTTCCTCACTTCACTCAGGTGTAAATGAGTACCTAGCTTCAAGGTTACAGATTATCTACAACAACCCAGAGGGACATATCTTACTTGCAGTAGCTTGCAAGTGCAGACTATCTATGTCGGTTGCCTTTATACATTTTGGGAAAGAAAATGGAAAAGAAAAGGAGGTGTCTTTGGAAATACTTTTCGTCTGCTCTCTCTTTAGAATAATCCTATATGAAACATTTTCTTAGTTACACGGCACTGTCTACGTCTCAATAAATGGTGCTACAACTGTCTGGAGCTGGAAATATCCAATTTGATACGAATATAGCAAAAAAAGTACTTCTCCACAGCTGGCAAACAGCATGGCCTACACAGGAAATGTCAATGTACTTTGAACACTGTGATGTCTGTTGCCATATTTAAGTTTTAAGTACTCGTAGTCCTGGGAGCTATCTTTAGCGTCAGGAAAATCCGCGGGATTGTGAAGATATCAGAATACAAATGGTTCCCTTCAGCACGTGTTTTGTATTTGTCAATCAAAGCAAATGGATACTCGGCCAAACACTGGGCAGTAGCTGCACTACCACTATTGAAGTAAACAGGCAGCACCCGATAACCACCATGTCCATAGATCCATGGTTAGGAAGTCTTCTGATGCACACGAACTCAAGATTTTTTCAGATGTGCAGCATTAGAGTAGTCGCAAATTACCGTGCGCAAATTAGGTTCTTGTTAATGTATTATCGATTTGACGAAGAAGCTTTAATCTTAGAAAAAAACGTTAGCAAAATTTGGGTCGGCTCGCTAAACACTTTCTAATACGTGTATAATCAATTAAAGCTTGTTTTTAATAACCTCCTTGTTTTTAATTAGAAGATGTTAGGTGTGCGAGTGTTCCAAAGTTTGTCATTTGCCTTCCCATGTATATGTAGAAGCTTATTATGGTTGGTTTTAAGGAATAAATCAGTCTTATTTGACTACATTGTATATGTTTTAACGTGTACCAATAACTTATGATGGAGCTCCCTGGACGCGCTCCTGGCTGCCTCTGCACACTTTTCAACCAGAATTGGATCAATCTTTATATTCCTTCTGGAAAGCAGTTTATCCGAGACTTCTACTGGGAAAATCTTCACTGGAAGGAACACTTCATAACCCCCGAAAAAGATGAAGAGGCTACTCAAAATAACTATTTAAACGTTTATTAAAAGAAATAGGTAGGAACGTTGGCATTGTCAACAAAATAAAGTGCATGCCTGTAAAACCCGCGTTTCACCTGGCCCAGGACAGGAAGTTTGCCGTCAGACCCCCCCCCGCTACTTGAATCAGAGACTCCAGCATAACCTTCCCTAAGCCGCCAATTTGTAGGTCTGTATACCTTTTCACACTGCCTAAGTAGCTGGGGGCGGTCAGATGCAGTCTCTTTACTATTTCTGGGTCAGCATCCAGCAAAACCTTATCCTGCTGGTCCTCCGGCTTCTTATCTTATCTGACCGTCTGGTGATACTCTTCAAACAGAGGTAAGACCTGGCCTAACCAGGATACCGACAGAAAAATCAACAAATGCTGCACCCAAAGGACCACTACCTCTGCAGTAATTTGATTCAAATTCATTTCACTTGTTCATGTATTAGTGAATGGAAAAGGTGCTGAGACATCAAGTTAGATCGCCCTGTGAGCTTTCTCGACGTCAGGAGTGATGCCTGTGGCAGAGGTGGTGGTGGAGAGGAAATCATGGTTACTTTGATGAGGAGCACCGTACTGTGGGAGACTTCTAAACATGCTTTTTGCTCAGTCAAATACTTTCAGAAAGTTAAATTAAAGTGTAAAGCATTGATAGAACGATAGAGCATACGAGGCCAGGGAGGATGAACATTTTCGCAAAGTTAAAGCTGAAGAATTCTCAAAAACATGGAGACGGCCTTTGGACAGTATGAAGGGCAGTCGTTTTTCGAACTGATCTTTTTCCTCCTTTCAAAGATGACCTACGTACTAACAGAGGTTTTTCATGCCTTTAAATCCTACGAAAAGCCGGACGACGCTTCTGGTTTAAAGCTCAGTAAACGACAGGCGTTAAACTTTAAGGTACGGGCGCCTCTCAGAAATATTCGTACGTAGGCGCACCTGTGAAAGTTTCTCTGTTTGCCATCTATTGGGGTAGAGATTTGATGACGTCGACGGGACCGACACTGACGCTAATGACTACGTGGGTACTTTCTTTAACCTGCCACCCACACCACAAAGTCTTCTCGCGCTGTCCCATACGCCTCTGCTTAAAATGGTTTTCTGACAGGGCTCTGACTTAAAATACACACTTAGTAAGTTATGCCTACTGTGGAGTTTGTCCGCCTCGGGGCCTCAAACTTTGAGGCCTCGTGGTGCGACTCCGTACGCTGGGCAAAGACCGAGGGTGACAGGCTACGTCTGCGTTTTTAGTGTTCTGTCCTGTAGAAAATTGGAAAACCAAAACTACGCCTGCGGTTGTAACCCCCCGTTCCCTACTACTCGTATTAGTCTTTTGTTGTGGAATGTCTGTCTTTTATGTCATTATTTTATTTTGATGTGCCAAGTTGGCAGGAGTGGGTTGGTGGGAGCACTTGGACAGTAACCTGTCGTGGGTAGCTTGGCACATCCTTTTTCTATTCCCCTTCCTTTGTCTATGTCTCAGTCACGTTGAAAAGTTTTAAAAAACAAATAATAAAGAAAATAGTTAAAAAACCTCCTGTCTCTCTTTCCTAGTTTTCACCTTTTTTTTATTTAGTTATACCCCAATTAAAAACGGGTTATGCCTACTGTGACTTTCTTTACACACATGGCCATATCGTCAAACTCATTTATATGTGTTTGACTTGTGAGAATGGCCAGACGGGAGGGCGCCGAACCTGAGGCAGGTAATGTTTAGTCAGGCTGTCACTGAAAATCAATTAAAACGTACACACCTCGTCTACAGGATTGCATGTTGAAGATATACATAATCACGTGTAGAAAATGGACAGTGCCGAAATGACAGAGTCGATGTGACAGCGAGCACGACTTACAAGTCTTCAAAGTGTAAACCCCGTGTTTAATACGATCAAAAGTGCAAAATGATCCATGGAGACCTTTTTTCTATACCGGTTAGAACTTGGCCGACGCTAAAGACGTGCAAACGGGGTTTTGCCATCACGTGTACCTGCCCGCCAGACCTGTGCACGTCGTGAGCCACCTCAAAGCTATTGAATAACAGTAGCGTCTGGAGTCGTACAGTTTTAGCGGTAAATAATAATGCGCCAGACATTGCACAAGTAAGCTAGTCTGCAAGTTGTGACGATATCACAAAAAATAAATATATTTTTGACAGTAGTGAGGTTTAGGGGACTTAGAAAGTTGTTATCCCAGCCTAAGAAAGGTAGCATCTGGCAGGAAAAGTAGGCTGACATCCTAAAGTACCCGGGCTTGTCTCCGGAGACAGGCGGACCTTGTCTTATCTCCAGCAGACGTACAGACTCCACAGACGTCTTGGAAACAAACTGTCGTAGTCAACAAGTCTTCTTGTTGCATTCGATAACAGGTATTTCTGTGATTGACCCGTGCCCATGGCACTTGTAATGCCTATCAAAGTATTGTGAACACACAAACACGTACAGATTCGCCAGCGCGCTTCTACAGGTGGGGTCGGCAGTGGGAAAAACAAAGATCAGCGAACCGGTGAGTGGGTGGTGGAAGTTTACTGTCACGTTCAGGGAACAGAGAAATCTGGCATTTGATTAAAGGAAACTCTCAAGGTGGCTGGATGTATTTTTACCTGAGATTTCACAAAAGTTTGACGCAAACGTTTTATATTGCTGCGGCGATGAATAATAGATAAGGCGGTAAGTATTGAGTTAAGTGGGTGGGAAGACAGGAAGGCAATCGGGCGTGCCTGCGTTACTGACCTTTAGTGCGCTCTAATGCCGGGTTAGCGTTTATTCCTCCCCAATCCAGCTTGGGCCATTAAAGGCTTAAAACGGAACCTCGTGTTTGTGCCGTCAGTGGACCTTTCATTTGCCAGAAAAGGTTGGCTTTGACGTCTTCCTCCGCTTTAAGTGTATAAAAGAGCAGAAATGAAGAGGTTCTCAGTTATACACTCGCTCAGGTGGCGCGACAACGTCTTCGGCCTGAAGAGTATGTGCCTTAAGGTAAGACCCGGGTGGGTTTGGGAAGGTCGGGCGTGAAGCGGGTAAGACGGCGGTAAGGTGGGTAAGAAGGCGAGATTAAGAGTCTTCTGCAGTGGTTTAATGATGACATTGCAATTCCCCGGGTTACTACTTGTAGTAGATCTAGTAAAATCAACTCACAGCAAAATCTGCTATAGGACATTTAACAAACGGGCAGCTTGTTTTCTTTTACTAGCCTCACCTAGGAAGTGTGTACATGGTGCTTCCATCAGTTTGGTTATATTGTCAGTCATATAAGCGGCAGGCGTTTCTGCGTATATCCTTGACACGGTACATGCTCAGTAACACCCAAGCATGACGTCTGTGGAGTCCGCAAAGATCGGCTCTAACTAACGCTACTGGTGGATGCAGAGACTGCTTTTCATCTGTTCATTCGTAACTTTGGCCACCAAGGAAAAGACTCCAATGTACGTTGCTGATAGTACAGAATTTCTCTTTATTCCTTTCCTGGTACGGGTACCGCCAGGTCCTTACTGTAAGGGGAGACTCGATGGACGCACGAGGATTTGAATTACGGGGATTCGCGTCCCAAATTAGTTTTTATGGCGTTGCATTGCATAATCAGCTCTTAATTTGATGAACGCAGCAACTGGCTTTGATCAATCCCCATAGCTGCAATGTTCGCCTCTATAGGAACAAATGTCGCCACCAAGATTCGGTTCCGTGATACGCAAGCTGGCCACGCTCGGCGCGAGCCATGTTTTGCCAGGATAGACGTGATGTAGGGACTGAGGACCTTGTGATATCCAAACAAGTGCAACACAGTGCTTTTCAATCAAAGAGAATGAGCAATAACTACAACATTTTATCATTTTACTGATAATATGCCGGATGATACTGATTGACCATGCAACTGCATACCTTTGATGATGTATCCGAAGCCTAGCCTCTACAGTTTGCCGCTCCCAAGAGAACAGTTTGCTCGGGAGCGGCAAACTGTTCTCTCCCCTGGCATGTTATCTCTCTATTTGGCCGATTTCTAATCTTTCCAGCCGCCTCCCGAAGCCTGGTAGAGGCTATCCGAGGCCGACTTCAAATACTTCGAATGCTACTGTAACGATTTTAAGTGATGTCATGATTGAAATGTTGTCCATGGTCCAGCACGTCAAGTCATTGCTAGAGTTTGTCTGCCTTATGTCAATGAGAAAACACTGATTCTAAATGTAGTTGAATGTGTTCCTCTGCAGCCCCTGATGACCGCTCATCTGTGCTGCCTGCTCCTCCTGACTGCCGCCCGCCTGGCCCATGGAGCTGACCCTGGCGCGGCGGCCCCCTGGCCAGACGCGGTGGCCCCGTGGCAACGAGACTTGGCAGCCCCACGGGAACTAGAAACGCTGGCTACCTGGGAACGTGCTGTGTTGGAAGACGTGAGCCTCCTGCTGGAGGCCATGGCTTTGTATGACGCCGAGATTAAAGGTACGAATCAGGGCTACTGTTTGTCAAACGTCCCCTTCAATTCACGCGCTGCCCGTCACTTCGTATTGTATGTATGGCCACTACAACCCCGCCTGATCAATTAAAAACTGCATTCATACATTTATTTGGCTACTTGGGTGAACCATGCATGTACAGATATTCTTGTACCCCATTGGTATGATGGCTGATGTTAATTAGTACCATAATAAGGATTCAAATATGTAGCCGAAAAATGAAGTGTTGGATATAAGAGACTAGGCGACTGTTTTAAAAGTGTCCTTTTGCAAACGCTGTAAGAAACCAGGTTTTTAAGAAGTGAGCACGACTAAAGAACTGCTTTGCCCTTCTGTTCCAGATGCCCTGTATCAGTACGGGAGGCCGCCTGTGTCACAGTCCTCCACAGACACCGACGCCGAGCTTGAACCTCTCCCGGCCGACAGTTTCCTACTCCAGGGTGCCGACAAACGGCAGAGTCCGGGCAAGCGGCAGAGTCCGGGAAAACGGCAGAGTCCGGGAAAACGGCAGAGTCCGGGCAAAAGAGGTGACGGTGGACCAGACCTGCCGATGGGGCTGCGCTTCAACCCACTGTTCTTCACGCCTTACAGCGAGTCCACTACTGACAAGCGACAGAGTCCAGGCAAGCGACAGAGTCCAGGCAAGCGGCAGAGTCCAGGCAAACGCCAGAGTCCGGGCAAGCGCACCTTTTCCTTCCCCGGGACACCTCCACTGGACAGTCACGACGCTGCCGACACGCGCGCAGCCATTCTATCCCTCTTAGGCCTAGCCGAGCAGAAAAGGCAGAGCCCGGGGAAGCGGCAGAGCCCGGGAAAGCGACAGAGCCCGGGGAAGCGGGCAGACTCACTTCGACCCAGCTCCGAGGGACCCTGGCTCCTTTCCCCTGACGGACTGCAGCCGGAAGAGAAGCTCGACGTGCTGCTGCCCTTCATCACTTCCTTGTCACCAGCAGCTGGTGTAGAGGACGGCTCCATGACAGTGGTCGGGACCGAAGACGACAAGAGACAGAGCCCTGGGAAACGCCAGAGTCCCGGGAAACGACAGAGCCCGGGGAAACGACAGAGCCCCGGAAAGCGGCAGAGTCCCGGGAAGAGAGGCGGGGAGCTGGGCACATACACCGCGGCGGAACAGGAGGGACCCGCGCCCGTCGACGGTCAGAAGGACTGGCCGGAGGAACATGTGATCTATGCCAGCCTTCCCGGCGGTTTCTGAGACTATTCAGATCGTCTCTCTGACAATGTCTAACAGCCGTTGGGGCACTGAGAGAAAACTGTATTCTAGAACTAAGGAAACAGGTTTGCACGGAGAAATTCCGAGATGCGAATCACAAAGATGTAAGTTACAGGTACATGTTAACACAGTCAACATGGAATAGTGATTAGCAAAGACAGCAGAACTACTGTACAGTATTCAGGAGCTGCGAATAAAGTCGGTGGTTTGGCCACCAAATGACCATAAAAGTTTTGATCGAGTCAAGTATTCAATTTGTCTTTTCATATACATCAAGAGTGGGAGAGTTAATATCTCTTAAATTCTATTAAACCAAACTTTCCAAGAAAAACGTCAGTGGAATAATAAGTTTAAGAACGCATTATTATCAACGTAGTACAATGTAGGTGGGATAATGGTGGTTAGACATTACGCTAAGAACAATATTTCCAATCATAGTGTGTTCGCACGCACGGTGACGTCTAAGTCGCCATGTTGACCGGCTGAACCTGGAAGAATCAGACCCGTAAACTTGCATGTAAATGATTTCAGATTGACGTATAATTTCATATCAATTCAAATTCAATTTGTATTTGATACAGGCTGCTCCACCCATCCTCACAGATATCCTTGAACCACAGTAATTAAGTCAGGCACCGTAGATAAAATTCTCAACAGCCCTGTCAAGCCTGATAAAAGTCACTTCAAAACAGGTACATGTACTCGTATATGTCACAGGGGAGATTGGAATCCAGGGGGATCCGGAATCCTCCTAGGGGAGATTGGAATTTGTCCTAGGACAAGTGGGAATTCTTACAGGACAATGTCCAATTTTAAAAGGAGAAATTCTGATTGCATCAAAATGCTTGGGAAAATAGACTGAGTTATTTCACACCTAAACTTTCAATCAATTTCAGCATAGGTAAGTGAATATGTAAATCAGACTCGGATATTTGCATATCAGGCCATTGTGAGATAGTGACTCAAAAGCCAGTTTTTTCAGTTTGTTAGTGACTTGGTATATAAGGGATTGTTTCCCCTACCAAGCCAGTCAAAGTGACCGACAGCATACTGAACAAGTGATGGCGGAGGATGAACAGCAGCAGAAAGCAGTATATATATATTGCCTATGCTGAAATAGTTGAAAGTTTAGGTGTGAAATGATTCAATCTATGAATTTTAGTATTTCTTCTACCAAGGGGGTTAAATACAAGATGAATTGGGATCTGAATATCAGGATTCCAATCTTTCCTAGGAGGATTCCAGATTCTCTTAGGGGAGATAGGGATTCCAATCTCCCCTAGGAGGATTCCGGATCCCCCTGGATTCCAATCTCCCCTGTGACATATACACAATGTCCATACTGATTGCATCCAGTCAAGTCAGGTTCAGTTTATATTGAAGACCCAGAAGGTGAGTTGTTGTAAAGTCTTATGGCGCAATACAGGAATGACTGCTGCAGTTTGGTTATTGCATGGAGAACTGTGATGTTATGACCGTTCCTCAGTGCTCTTCCTGTGGCAGACTCTCTGGGCAGGAACCAGGTCGTGCAGGGGGTGTTCAGGACTCAGCATGGCCTTGAAGAGAGACACAGGTGCGGCCTCTCTCCTCTCCTTCAGGGACGGCAGTGTTGGTGCGGAACGCCTGCCGCCTATGGCGAGAAAAGAGTCGTACTGCCGGCCCAACAACTGCCAGCCTTCGTAATTCTTTCAGGCCAGGTGACAGGCTTTCCAAGGTCAGGTCAGCTAGCTTGCGGACATGGCGACAGCAACCTATAACGAAGAGACCACAGACCAAGAAGGCGCCGGTTTTGCACAGACTTACCTGACACCCGGAGCCGGTGTGCTGTATGCTCTGCTGAACACAGTTCTGTCCGCCACCGCGTCACAGTTTATGGCCCTGGGCAGCCAGGCAGGCATACCTGGGCTGCAGCTGATCTTCGTCACCAAACTTGGGGAGACCCTCGCTGTCTTGCTCTTCCTGCCCTTCTTTAGACCAAAACTGACAACTGAAAACGGACGACAAACTCTACTCATGGTGCTGTCGACTATTACTGAGAACGCTGGATCTGTCTTCCAGTTCATGTCCTTCGTCTTCCTTTTCCCTGGGATCGCCTTCGGCATCATAAAGGGATCATTGCCTTTGGCCTCGGTCTGTATTGGATTTTTGTTCATGAAGGAAACTGTGGGCGTCGTGAATTGTTTTGGAATCGTTCTCAACGTAGCCGGTGTTGTAGTAGTCACTTATGGATTAATCACGGAGAACACTTCGTCCACGCAGCGTCTGACGGTGTCCATTCTGATTCCCTTCGCAGCAACTTTCTGCAAAGCTCCAAGTCTGATCATCGCACGGTCGCTTATCGGTGTACAGAAGGTCTCCGTTCTAACCGTTCTCTTCTACGCCAGCCTGCCAGGAGCGGTCGTGCTACTCGGACTGACGTACTTGTTTGAGACCCCGATTTGGGCGATGTCGGCACAGACGGTGGGTTATGTTATCGGGCTGTGTCTGTGTGACTGCGGCGCGCAATTTGCTACAAACCTGTCACTGAAGACGGAAAAGGCGGGGATCACTGCCACCATCAAGACTTTCACCATACCTCTTGCAGTGCTGTTGGACTACATCGTTCTATCAGAGTTGCCCAGTCCGCTTAAGTCTGGCGGTGTTGTACTCATAGTGTTCGGTACCGGTGTAGTGGCGGTGTATACATGGTGGAGACATCGCAAAGAAACTCTTCACAAAAATCTCATGCAGAGCTTGGACTTTGATAAGTAAGTTATCAACGCAAGTGTATAAAACGTGTTATTGTGTTTTTTACTTCTAATAAAAAGCTCTATACTTAACAGAAATATATGTAGAACTTTGTTAACACAACAAAAGTACTGCGACTTTCGTAAGGTTTAAAACTGCCTGTAAATATATTATATATTAAATGATGAGCAAATCATCACTATGGTTATATACCATGGTAGTTTATTAATCATTAACAAAGCCTGTTCTATATAGCCTAATTGCAGATTTATCTACATTCAGTCCAAATTCTTGTCCAAAAATATAAAGATAAACCATGTTCCAATGACTAAGGTGCAACCTTCATTCTTATAACCTCCCATATGCTTGCCTAATATTCCACACTGCTGAAGTATCTAGCAGTTCATGTGCAATAAACTCCATTCATTCATTTATACATACATGTAACGTTACATCATATATACTCAGGCCAAGAGGCCCACTCTGGCTTTTGACATAATAATAGAAAATGAACCCCCAACCTGCAAACCCTCTTCATCTATAAACTCATTGATTGCTAATGCATTTCTGAAAAAAACAAGTTATAGAACTCTCTTATAAAGGCTCTTGCTCAGGATTTCTGTTATATACCAGTTTACAAAGGGAAATTATTTACACACTGATCAGGGGATACAAATTTCTTTTGGAGCCCACTATTTATGCAGGTCCTCTTTTTAATTCTCTTTTGTCCTTTCCAAACCAAAGCGACAAAATGAAATAAATAAAATACTTTCAAAACTCTTGCCATCCACCAGGAGTGCTGTCATATCACGGCAAGAGGTTGTTCCTTTGTAACCCACCTTTAGGTGTATAATCAGTCAGTACATTGCACAAACAACTCCTAAGTGCATAGCTCTAAATAAGGATACTTCCATATCACCTATGTAGCAGCAAAGTTGGGGTCTGCAAAACTGAACAGCTAACACTACTGTACTGTACTGTACTGTCCAGAGAAAATTACACTTTTCCCTTGGATGATTTTCATTTGAAAAAGCTATGAGCTGCCTAAACTTGAGTAATGCACAAGCATTATCAACATCATTACTTAGCAGAGACAAAATCAATAAACTTCTTACTCATGATAAAACAGCTGCAGTTCTTACATGCACATCTCCAGTGGCAGTCTTTTCCTGTGGGAAGGCAGCTTTTCTGCCTAAATTCATTTTAAAAAGTGGTGCTGTATCAACATAGGTAACGGACATGTGTTGTAACTGATTGTTTTGTATAAACTTGTTGATTGAACGACATCAAAGTTGGAGAAGCGGACAGTAGTGAGTATTACTGTAACAGAAGATACTGTAACAAGCTTTACATGTTGCATAGATTTCTGGACTACAGTGCCCATTCAGTTAATTTTTACATCTTTCACAAGCTTTTCTATTGCACTTGGGAGTCTTCTTATCAGGGCAACAGGTGATACCTGTTTTACCCGAGCTATAAAAAATAAAGCCATCAAAAACATACTTCTCTTCATCTTCATCTTCTCTGTCATATACTGTCCCTTCTGTCATATACTGCCCCTTCTGTCAAATACTGTCAAAGTCCCTGCTGTCATATACTGTCCCTGCTATCCTATACTATCCCTGCTGTCCTATACTATCCCTGCTGTGCTATACTGTCCCTGCTGTGCTATACTGTCCCTGCTGTCCTATACTGTCCCTGCTGTCCTATACTGTCCTTGCTGTGCTATACTCCCCCCTGCAATGCTACATTGTTGTACACTGCCCTATGCTGTTGCCCCTGTGTCAGTCATGACAGCTGTCAGGTCATTAGGCTTCAGAACATTGTAGGGAGACTCAGACCCAACCAGTAGATACTGATTTCCATCATATGTGAACCTGGGAAAACAAGCAAACAACAAGATTTAGTGTCTGACCCTGGCTACACATACAAGTATTTACTGAAAAACACTCTATTCCTGAAAAACAGTCTATTTCTTAGTGCTGTTGTTTTCTTGTTTCGATAGGACATTTTTAAGTTGTCTGTTTACCTGACCAGTTTTGGAAATTTTTTGAAGTTTATTATCAATAAGTATCCATGCATACCTAAGCATGTTCTTGTGTAGCCCTCGTAGGTCATCATCCATTCTGAACAAGCCAAAGCAGCTGCACAGTTTCTGTAGAACTCTTCTGTCTGTTGGATTTTCTTGTTTGAAGTAGACAGTAAAGACCTTCCTGTGTGGTGAAGTAAAAATATACAGAGATTTTAAAAATCCGTATAGATATTCTTAAGTTACAAAAGACTGAGATTTGAACACTTGAAGGGATTTTACTGAAAGCATGTCAAAGCCAACGCACATAGCAACACTAAAGTGATGGTAACAACCCTGAATCAAAAGATTTACTTGCTTGCTGATCTTGTGTGTTGACGTCAGTGTTGACCAGACTTAGATGGGAGGAAATTGTATTTTGGGCTGTATCACCCGCTGAGGTAACCTTACCCTTTAAGCTTCCCTTTCTCATGTAACTCATGTTCTCTGTAGTAATACCCTTTCTATGGTGGTCTTACGTACCCTTTCTCAGATGGCCCACTGAAATGTTCCTGTTGTATAAGGCATGTGGAGAATTGGGAGGACTGGACAGGTGTGCTGGAGCTGATGAGATGTTTCACCTCCTCCTCATATGCATCTTTGTTCATCTTCTGTACATCAGATACATCTTGCTGGGGCTCGCTAGTCAAACATACAGACTGTGTTAACTATAAAACACACAGTTTTTTTTAATTCTAAATTTCAGGAACAGAAATCGCATGTTGCGCTTACATGTTTGTCTGAACACATATATGTTTGTTTGTTTGTTTGTTTGTACCTGTTTGACCTGCGCCCAGGGAAGTATTTTTGTCTGAACTTGTCGTCCTCAAACAGACCTTCCTTCACGATGTACTCCACACGTGACACATCTGGTACAACAACCTCCTTGCCTTTCAGGTCCCCACCAAACCAGCCATGCCAGGGACTGCAGTTGAATAGAACATGGTTATTGTGGGTAGGATAACTTCCCACCCCTTCAGGTCCAACAAAACCAGCAATGCCATGGATTGCAGTTGAAAAGAACTTCAGTAGGCAAATATAGGTTTTCAACTCTACATGCTGAGAGAGTTTTAGGAGCTGTAGTCAACACCAAGAAGATATCCCTTCTTTGTGTGCTTATGAGGTATCTGATTGATCTATGTTTACTGAAAGGCCATCATCAATCAGACCAACAGTTCAAAACATTACTGCACAGATTCCAGAAAGAGAACAGGTATCAAATTAACTATCACAGAGGTTTAGCTGTAAGACTAATGTTATCTATTAATAGGATAAAGAGCAGTGTATGTAGGTTGTTTGCTTGTTTCAATACTATAGGCTGTTTGTCAGTAGTCCATACTCACAAGACCATACAGCAGGCTCCTTCCTTCCCTCTGACCTCTGACTCCCACACTGATCTCCGCACAACCCATCTAAAATAGGAGTAACTTCAGCTGTTAGATGTTTTGTTACATGCACAGCTACATATGCAGCCAACTAAGGGTCAGCTGTCACCCAATGTCACAGTTGCAAATATAACTTAAACAGTAGTAGTACTTGTTTCTTTGTGCCCAGAACTATACAACATTCTTGCAGCTGAACTCCAGCAGCTAGATGCTTCTGCTAACACACAACAATGTTTACCCATGTCCTGTAGTTGACATCAGATATGGAATAAGCAGTAGCAGAACTCACTTATCACACAGTGCAATGCTTCATTGACGAAAGTACTTGCCAGCTCTGGAGGTGTGACACATTCTAAACATCATGAACATTTTGGGAGGAGCATCAATACACAGGAATACATTGAGTTGTTTGGAAATACAAATGTAATTAACAATGCTCACCCAGTTGCTGGGAAATCTTCAGTTCTGTAGAGAAGGCTGGCATCTTGGGAAAGCCCTTCAAAACCTGCACAGAATCAGAATAATGTCAACATTGGCTAGAATGCAAAAAAAACATTCACAGCAGGTATCATCCTTCCAAAGATTGGATATACTGCCTCTATATTAAAGTAATCTACCTGTAATAAACCATTAACCCTTTGTGCTGAGTTTAAGGGTATAGACAGTATCAGCTCACCGTTGTGGTTCCAGGCAGACACACTGAAGATGGAGTCATCTTGATCCAGCAGGGATAAAGTCTGGGCAAAATAGCGCAGGAACCCTGGCCTTGCCCTGAAGCCTTCGTCCATAAATATTGCATACTTCTAAACGATATTAAGACAAAGAATTGGAGAAATAAATGGACTGAATTAATTATATACAAGACAGTAAGACAAAAATGCCACAGTTGGTTTGGTGTTGTCTGGAATTGTGCACAGTTTAGTTGACAAAACTGAAGAAAGACTAACCGAATCTTTGAAGGTCTGAAAGACTCGAGTCATGGCATGATGCATCTGGTCTGAAACAAACAAAGAAATCATTAGTGGGCATGATGGCTGCACACTTGAACTGTGAGCACAAAGACACACAAACACACACAAACACACGCACTTACACATACACACACATTTGCACACAATTGTTGGTTGGCTGATGGCTCTGCCATACTTACAGACATATTTGGTAGTTGGCTGAAGACTCTGCCATTGGAAGCTATAGAGATCTGTCAGTTTCTGGGGTTCATCAAAGGAACCATCGCTCATGACCTGCGGATGGGATGACACAGTGAGGATGATTATGATGCAGATGTGTAGTGGGCCTGTGGGGTGCAGATGTGTAGTGGGCCTGAAGAGTGCAGATGTGTAGTGGGCCTGTGGAGTGCAAATGTGTAGTGGGCCTGTGGGGTGCAGATGTGTAGTGGGTCTACGGGGTGCAGATGTGTAGTGGGCCTGTGGAGTGTAGATATGTAGTGGGCCTGTGGGGTGTAGATGTGTAGTGGGCCTGTGGGGTAAAGATGTGTAGCAGACCTGCATCATACAGATGTGTAGCATTTATGTGTATTTTACTTGCTTCAGTAACAGAGCCAGTCATCAAAGTTGGGCAGCAAAAAGAGAAACGACACACTGGGGGGATACAAAGGCTAGGCTATCCTACTGAGTGTTCAGTGGGGATTTAAAAGTCTGATGATACACAATGTCCAATCAGAATGGAAGCATGGTTGAATATCTCTGTTAGAATAGATAACCTATAGAATTTCTAAACACATTATGTGCATGTAGTTCCTGACTGTAGCCTGGTATCCAGCCTTGTTAGCTGATACCAGGCTAGTTCCACCGAACTGTGTGTGTGTTACCTGGACCATTCTGGGGTTAATGCCGGGCTGCAGTCGGAGAGACTCCAGAGTCTGCTGCACCAGGTTCAGAGCTGTCCCTGTGGGACACACAACAGGGGAACGTCAATGGTGTGGCTGTTGTGTAACATTCATGGTAACACCAGTCCTCCACAAGCAGCGAATGCTACTTTCTCTGACAGGTGTGATATGAAATGTCAATTACACACAGCATTGTGCTTCATACGGTCTCAAAGAAATAAGATCCTCAACACTGAAGAACAAATTGTTTCATCTGTGATTCCAGTTTTGTTTCTTACTGGTGTATGTCATACTCCCACTTCGAGTTTGAGCCAGTCCTACTGATAATCCGTGATATTCCGTTGGTGCCCTTTGTTTGCTTGATAATATCACACAAGGCTGGACCAATCAGCCCTTGATCATGGGTCAGCCATCAGCCCACACATTCATCCCCAGACTGGACCCTGGTGGCTGCAGGTCTGCTCCTAACACTAAGGACTTCTCATCAATTCTCATTGTCTCTGCTCTACTTCACACAACAAAAACCAGACAGGAGGTCAGAGAATTCCTGTTCACGTTAACTAAAATGCTTCAACATGGCCAGAATTCTAATGTGTGTATTAAGAGGCCTCTGGGAATGGTATGATGCTAGCAGCATCCTGATCTCCACTTTGCTGTGATCTGTGGGTGACTGACCCAAATGCCCTACAAAAGCAGACCTACATGTACAGTATAGGCAACCTCTGAAAGAATTTAATTCTTACAAAATTAACAAATTGCTTTACAAATAGCATCTCTATCAGGTTATCCATACTCAGTCTGTTGTTTCTATCCACAGATTTGTTTTCAGGTTTCTTCCAAAAGCCGCACTTTATCCCAATGGGGACTTTTCAACATTTGTGAGGGGGGTCAGCAATATTTCTCTTTACTGACTAAAGGGAAGGAGACACCTACTTGCAATGACGACGATAGGTGTGGAGAACACAGCATTCTCCTTCAAGTCCTGCTGGTCACCTAATGGTGCTGGGGACAATGACTCCTTCTGATTCTCCTCTGCATGGAAGAAAGTAAGTGAGATGAGATGAGATATACTTAATATACAATAATCTTAACAAGTCTGTTCCTTTTCCTCACAATGTTCTCAAAGCTCAGAGAAGCTTGGGAATATATTAATAAAAAGGAAGTCAAAGTTGAATATAACACTGTTATAATAATAAAATACTTTTCATACAATTGATGAAACTCAGCCATCCAGTGCACCAGGAGATGTCCCTTGCCTGTCTTGTGTCACACCTACCTGCGCAGAAGTCTCCATAGTCTCCACCCTGGCCGTATGTATCACAGAAAGCCTTCCTCTTGCTGTTTGTGGGGTGGTTGGTATCGTCCTGCTTCTCACCAATCACTGCACAGAAAATGAACAGCTGATCAGATCCCCCTCTAATCACTCAGATGTTCACATTGTCACCTATCTCCCATAGAACCCTCAATGCACATTGTCAATAACCTTTGGCCAAACTTGTTGATTGCCAGAACATTTCTCAAGTTCAAAATCTACAGAAACCGCATAGGCATGTTCTATAAATGCATGTACATGACAGAAGCTAGTACAAAAATACACAATGGCATAATATAACAGTCAGACCTGCTAAGCCAACCACCTGTCATAGCTAACCACATGCCTGTCTGGGCCTCAGCTCAGCACTGAGTTTTCCTCAGTCCCTTGAGTGGGTTTTGCGACCAGGCCTTAGGTTTGACTGTATTTATTTACCTTTTGACCACAGAATGTCATGAACTACAGATCCTCCCAACATTTACTCACATTTCTGGGTCAAACATGCCTTGATCTCCACAGCACCACCAAAGTTGCCGGCCCCGCCTTTCTCATGCTGCAAAGAAAACAGGACTTGACTTAAATGTTCTACAGAGACCTTCAGAAGAGGAAATCAACTACTATGCACTTAGCAATTCATCCAAGAATTCTCTACAATTCTATTCACAGCACATATCTAGTAAACTTATATGAAGGACTTTCTGGTCCACAAATCTGACTGGATGATGAATGGCATCAACAATTTGCTCTGTCTTTTAAGTTGTTCAAAACAGCATGAACCAACCTTTTCATATGGAGAAACTCCCACAATGCCCTTCTGCCCGATGAAGACCCAGCTGTCTCGGTACCCTAGGTCCTTGACCTTTGAACTCCCCATGTCGGTGAGAAGGCTTCGAGCATAGGACGACAATCTGAAAAAGGAAGAAAAATCTTTAGCTTAGTACAACCATGTAGCAAATGTGAGTTGTCATAAGTTGCCACCAGAAAAAATGAGCTTCCCTGCGTGATGCAAGTTGCTACAGTATAAATGAGCTTACTTGCGAGAGGCCTCATCATAAGTTGCTATCATCACCAGGCTGGTCTCGTCTAGTTTCCATACAAGGTCCTCCAGCTCAGAACTCCCTACAAACAGGAGACAACAGAGATGGGATAATATATTACTGGTACATACAGTAGTGTGATGGGCTATTTCAGACATTGGATATATGGACACTGTAATACTGTCTGTCACTCTCTGAGCTACTAGACTTTATGCCTCAAAGACTGTTCCATCATTACAGTTATAAACCTGTGAAAGACACAAGCCTCGTAATGTATAAAAAAACATAGATTGATGTATGGCCAAATAGAGTAGAACTCCTGGAACATTGAACAAAAAGAAATCTGGTTACCATAATGATTATGATACCACAATAAAACTTAATTGTTAAATCTGTAAGACACAAGGACACATAATAAAACAAAAACAGGCATGAGAAGCATGCACACAGGTGGTTTAAAACTCACCTTTCTCATAGGTGTCAATGTTTTTAGACTGAGTGACCTGGAATGTCCTACCTGCATGGAAAACAGAATGACCAGTGATCACTGCATGCAGTATTCTGTTTGACTTTGATGATGGAAAAATTTCACATGTCAGATTTCAGAAGTGGCCCAGACAGTTGAATGCCCATCTGTGTAAGTTGTACAGTATTCACAGACTTCAACTCCCGTTTTAATTTGGGAGGTTACAGATTTGATGAGAATTGTGAATTAATGTTAAGGCCACAGTGGAATAAAGCAACTTTGTGACAGAGGTTGAACAGGAACCACATTGACAAGGGTACAACAGACTTAACACTCACTGTCCACCACAACCACGTTCAGTCCTCGCCAGCCGATCATCCCTCCCCTGATCACACTGCAGGAGATACAAGCAGTTACAAACACACCTGAGATATGAGCAGTTACAAACACACCTCAGATACGAGCAGTTACAAACACACCTCTGACTCTCACCCTGAGGTCTGCTTCCCTCCCCTGATAACATTGCAGGATCAAACAGGATCACTATAAACATGATTAATTTGATATCAGTCTCAAAGTTATGGTCATAGGTCAATATGTGGCCACAAATCTACATTTAATGGCTGCAAGACAAAATTACCGGTAGCATGGTCATTGACACACCCTGATGCTGAGGTCAGAAGACTGTCTAGGGAATGTAAGATGATGGCATTGTCTGTTGGCAAATTTTGTTTAAGGGATTTCTATTACAAGTGACAACAAAACTGCCAAATAAAACTTAGAGACATACTATTGTCCATTGACACATATCTCAGGCCAATGATTCTTGGTTTTGTCCCCAGCAAACACATAGACGGGAGAGCCTGCATCACAGTGGGTGGAGTACATCGCACAGCTGTTCTCACCAGCGCCCCCCGACTGCTGCTCTTGAACTGCAGCTCCGGCACCCTTCGGCTGCTGCTCCTGAACTGCAGCTACAAAACACAGAAGCAGCCCACCCTCTTATATCAGACTCATCTTCCATCACCAGGACATCTATATTTTGTGGGCACTATGAGCATAGATTTTAGTTTTGATGCAGTTGACTTCGAGTGTGCTGTGGCAGCTCCATGGACATGCAGACACCTGAAGTTAATTTTGAATGGGGAAGTTTGTTAATGACCTTTCTCCCGTACCTCAATTATTCATGTTCATTATCTCCTAGCACAAGTATTCCCTATTATCATTATAGTTGCCTTTTCACTATGTGTCATGATTGCTGTTATTTGCTAAATCAGGTTTGTCAAGCTTTTTAGTTGTTATTCAACGAAGACTAAATGTATGCATATTGATTTCTTCATCCTTTCTCAAACCTATAGTGAAAAAGCAGAAAATAAGACAGTCACAACATAGGAGTATACTGTGGTTTATTCTGTACAAAACTAAATACTGGACATATTTTCTTATCTGACTGTGTTACTAGGATCCAACCTGACAAAGGTTGATGCGGTGATCAATTTTTGCATGGATGAGAAGAAAATAATTTCATTCTTGCAATAAAATAATCTTTCCTAACTTAACTAATGTCTAAGGTCTCATGTAACACATCTCTTCTGTTATATAGCTATTTATCAGTAAGGATACGGCATCCCATCCCAATAAAACCTTAAGACCTTAATCTTTGTTGAGCTATAAAATCAGTCTTGGAATGTTTTTTAGTAAAATCATGACATCACAAACAATATTAGGCATAAATCTTTTTTGATAAAAGTTGCTAAAAATTGCACATAACAGCCTAGGCATTGAAATAGGTACTTTCCCACCAGTTCTGCATCATAGAGTCTGACGTAAAGATTCCTAAATCAAGGAGCTGGAATTATGTCTGATGTCTAATATCTGATTTTTATAGATTTTTATAGATTATAATTTTTTTGAGACCAAAATTGTCCTCAACACATAAAGAAACTGAAACAAAACTGTCTTTAACTTATAGCGAAATGGAAAACTGATTATTGCTATATTGCCATGAAGTTAACCATAGCTTGTGCATGCAGTGGAAGACTCTACTGTTTCTGGCATTTGTTCATGTCTGGCATGGACACCTAATGTATCACGATTATCAGGCACTTATGTATTCCTGGCATGGATACCTAATGCATCATGATAAGCAGGCACTTGTTGGACAGTCTTGTTGGACACACACTTCTATCAACATGTCTCAACCAGTAAGAACCTTGAGAAACCTCCCTACTGTTCACCTTATCCCTGCCAGGGCATTGCTGGCTACATGTAGTTAGAACTCCTTACTTGGCAGGGGTGCACAGCCCTGGATCTCAGCCTGCTGCGGCCACTCGTCCTGCTTGTCCACGTGGTGCTGCACCTGGGGAAGAGAGAGGCTATTTACTACCTGACAGGTGTGCAAAACAAATGTCTAACACGTGCACTTCCAGCAAAGATGAAACAGGTGGGCAAACACCTGACAGGCGCAAACATGTATCAGGTGTGAAACACCTGTCTGACAGGTGGAGAGATGAATCAGGAACACCTGTCTGACAGGTGTAGAGATGAATCAGGTGTGCAAACACCTGTCTGACAGGTGCAGAGTTGAATCAGGTGTGTGAAGGCCGACCCACCTCCTCCTTGGGCGGGGGTCCATGGCTGCCCTTGTACCCCAGGAACACCCAGCTGTCCCGGAACTTCAGGGTCTTGATGTGTTGACTTCCCAGCGCTGAGAGCAGGTCCCTGGACTCATCTGTCAACCTGAGAGAACACAAGAGAATAACTGTACACAAACTTGCCTATGACACAGGGAAAAAAACCCTTCTAATATTATTTTACATTTATAAGATGCTGAGTGAACCAGCTCAGAGTTGAAGTTCTTACTACTTATCACACACAGTAACTGTAAATCAAATACATAACAGTTTTTACTTACTTGTAGGCAGCATCATCATAGGAAGCAACCAGGACCAGCTGGCCATCCTTCCTGTTCTGCAGAAACTTGATGAGCTCAGCATCATCTGTGGGCCATACATGTCACACAACACAAAACTTCATCAGCACCGGTCTGTAGTAAAAAAATCAGCATGAGCCAAACATACTTAACACCTCATAAAGACTACCAAGAGCAGCTATAATAGCACAAACTGTCTCACCATGATCGTATAAGTCAAATGTGTCCACTTGATACACCTCTTTGGACTGGCCTGCACATGATAGAAAAAAGACAGACTGAATTTTTTGAAAGTCTTCATTTTATGCCATTTGTACAGATAAAAATGAAACTTCCAAATCACTGTACTTTGCTGTGATGATAACTTACCATCGATGACTACGATGTTCATGCCCCTTCCTGCATTGTGTGTGTCGTCACTCATTATACTGGTGAAAACAAGGGAAAATCATAATAAACACAAGTAAAGCAGTAAAGGATTCAGCAAAAAAACTGCCAATGGGGAAACATGTTTTACTTACTCCTTCCCATCAAAACAGATCCTGGGTCCAACTCTCTGGGCCTGTCCACTGCGGATGACAAAGGCAAACTGGTCCTTGCTACAGGGGGGCTGGATCCCACATGGAGGGGGGTCTACAGCAACACAAGTACAAACATTACCCACTGATACAGGGGGTGGATCTCACATGAAGGAGGATCTACTGGGAAACAAGTACGGTCAACATGACCCATGGTTACAGGGGACTGAATCATACATGGAGGGGTTCTACAGGACCGATGGGTAATAGGTGATAACTACACTTACCAGGGGGGATGTCCACTTGTGGCTTCACCTGTTCCTTCTTCTCTTCAACATCCACAATAACTGCTCAGATAAAAACAGGAAAATAAAAGTTAATAATACCTGTAGCTGCACAAACTGGTGCTTGTGGAAACTTTTGTTTCAAAACATTTATAATTTGAACACCAGAGAAGTTCCAACAATCTGTTTTCAGATGCGTGGACTGATACAGGACCACATGTACATGCTGTGTTGGACACTGGCCTTATACTTTTTTTATCATAGAATTGTGTAAATTTAGATAATAGAAAACTGCCAAAATTTGTCCACTGTACCATACCTATACATCCAGTTTAATAAAGCATGACATGTCTGCTCTTGTTCTCATCAGGAAGAGTTGTAGAAGTAAACCAACCTGGCTGTGGGCCTTCTTCTGTCTCCTCCTGCTCCATATTCTTCACCTCATGTTGTGTGGCTTTGTCTAGACTGTCCATGTAAAACTTTGCTCCATGGTAAACTACTACTGCCACCACTAACAGCAACAGTATAGCCCTCACTATGCCTGGGGTAAACATACACGAAGAAGACATCTAATACTAGGCCCTGGTGATAGACAACTATAATTAAGCTAATTAGAGATACATGTATCATTAAATTTATGAAGTGACATATAATTTGGAAATCGGCAAAACATTGTAATGAAATATGGCTGGCTCCCAGAAGTTGTAATTTGCATGTTATGATGGCAGATGGTATTTATTTATAACGAATGCTTATACAGTTTTGAACTTTTGATGAGGCACAGGGTCCTGGAAAGTATTAAAGCACACTGCAATTTAGGGAGCGTTACAAACTTCAATGAAATTAGCTATTACAAGTTTTTATACTTAATAAGTACTGGACCATGCCTTAATTGACACCCAAATAGAAGTGAAGATTACCTGATCTACGCCTGCCCCACATGACGGTGGATCTGCAACTACATCAGACTGAGTCAACCTGAAACAGCAGAAGTCTGTCAACACTAGAAGATCAAATCTGGAAGGCTGGGTTAGTTAAGGCTCCCAGGGTTCTCCCCTGGTAGTGTGGGCATGTCAGGGAATACAGGCTACACGTACACAACATGGAACAGTGCGCCAAAACACTATCATAAAACCAGACAACTTTATTCGGATGCCACCTGGACAACCAGAAGTTACCGGACAAGTTTGGCAGTAGGGAAATATGGCCTGTCGGACAAGCACGATGCAGTTTTCTCTCCAAATTTAGTTATGAGACCCTTTCTGAACAAAGTTACGTTACCTTCCACGTCGTGGTTTGATGAGAACCTGTTCTGGCGAGGTTTGGTCAGAGTTGGGCTGTTTCAAGGCTGCAAGCAGCCGCCATAGTTCACACACCTGCACGGGCTGTCTGGCGTAAATAAATATATGCCTGACAAAACACCGAGCAAACAGATCATCGATCACTCACTATCCGGGTCGAAAGAGAAAACTTCCTTACCACGAATTATGTGGAATGGTACAAGAAGAATTTGTACTGGTGTTATTAACAGTTACTGATTTAATTGCCGAAATCTACTGATCGTGATTATCAGGCAGCAGATCAGGTCATCGTGAACAGCTTGAAAAGTCAAACCAGCAGGTACAAGTAAATCCTGATCCGGCCGCTAGGGGGCGTGATTAGTCCGGCTATCATCTCGTCACGCTCCGCCACGCATGGTTGGGAGAAACGTGATCCTCCCCGGGCCGCGGCCACGTGACCCATGTCGCTGTGCCCAAGGTGACGGGACGCCTTGTTACCCCGGGTTGCCGGGTACTTCAGGTATGGGTGCCGGGGACTTCAGGTGTCGGTGACGGGTTCTTATTAAGGTGTGGGGAGGACACAGTGGGGACGGAGGAAAAACTTGGTAAGGCTTCCAACAAACAGCACCTTGTCGTACAAAACATGATCTTTAATATCCCATAGGAAGTTTAACTCCTTAGCAAGTATCTTAAACGGTGGCGACGTCATGTGTAACCGCATTGATTTCATGGTTGACATAACATACAATGTCATTAACAGTAGCACTACCTGCCACCGTGCCTGTGGTATTTGCGCCAAATCTCGTTAATGATGGGAACAGATATTGTGACAGGAACTGACAGCGGAGAGTAAAGAGGTGTGGCGAACGGTGTATACCTGATGCAACGAAAGAGCGAAACATCATTTGCGCGAACGTTTATTATGTATACACGTGTCAGTTCAGGACCATAGTCTGAGTTTGTACTGTATTTTTGTCCTAACCGGCACCATCTCTTTGATACCATTCAGATATGGCATTTTTCATATGTAACACAGTAAGAATTTTTGAGCCGGGTGCTATGCTGAAATCACCTCCCCTATGACAGAACACTTCAAGACGCCTTGTATCAATGTAGCCTGAATGGAGAGGTTTTTGTTCAGTCGAACCACAACAAATCAGAAACGCATCAGTAACGTTAACTACTGCTGCTCGCATTCCGCGGTCTCCTGACACGCTAACCACGCTGGGGGTGGACTGCATGTTTATTGTTTGTCTATTTGTTCGTTTGTTATTTCTGGGATCCTCAAGAATATAAAAAACTCGAGCAGACTTTCCATGTGGGACAGAGAGCCGATCGACCTACAGTCGTGGGGGTCTGGAAGAAACAGTATCCGTCCGCAGCACAAAGCCATGCCGCAGCGGGCTTGAATGGATTGTTTTGACTGTAGAGTAAACACACCTGGGCAAGCTACAGGCCAATATGGAACTTAAGGTTCCTCGCGCCACAGAAAACCAAAGGGCGCATTACGCCAAGTTTAGGAAGCGGTTGGGATCCTCATAGTGGTCTACGTGTGAAAGGTATAGCCTATGAGAATACGTGATGACCCTTGATTAGATTTAAGTCTGACGACCTGTGGTTGTTGTAAGAAGGCCCACCTGGTCATGGTTGCCAAGGTGCGGCGGCGGGATTTTTCCTAGCTAGTTCTCGGGATTTCTAAGGTATACAGACCAAAGCAGTCTCTACCTGACCTCTTGGTGGACGAGGAAAATTGTTGAATTGGCCAAGTAGGGCTGAATAACTTAAGAAGGCTTGGCTGGTCATTTAACGTTATAGATTTGTCTGCCAAAGTTGCAAATTGTAATGCTACGGCAGGCTGACTCCTATGCATAGTTTTACTATTTCCCAAACAACCCACGGAGTAAGCACACGAAAAGTTACAGCAGAGCGCCTATTGGTGCTGTGTGACATACCGGAAGCT